AGGGAGACTGATGAGGACCGATGTTTGCATGGCGAGAATAGAGAGCGGGATTTTGCTCAGTAAAGATGCCCTATGACCTTGAGCATAGGAATGGGTCACCGCCAACAAGAAGTGTTTGGGCGTTGATAAAGAACACGATTGAGCCTCGCTATTGTGGGCTCAATTCAGCATCGTGTGACACGGTCACAGAGTACCTAGATAGAATAAAGAGTCAGTTCACTTTGGCTCTTCAAAGATATATGCAACCCATTGATCAAGCAATTTGGTTCTGAAAAAAAGTACTACTGGTGGCGGCAGTGGCATTAGAGAGCACACACTGAGAATGAGCAATCTGGCATCTAAGCTCAAACCAATGAATTTGGCACTCAAGGATGAGTTTCTTATTCATTTGATTTTTGCTTCTTTGCCCAAAGAATTTGACACCTTTGTTGTTAATTACAACATACAGCCTGAAAAATGGGATTTAGAAAAGCTCATAGCCATGTGTGTGCAGGAGGAGGAGGAAAGAATAAAAGTTTCACAAGGTGGTTACATCAACTACCTAAAAGATAAGAAAAGAACTATTATAACAGCTCTTCCTCCAAGTCATCCGGAAAAGGTCCTATGCAACAGCCAAGAACCAAAGCAATTCCGGTGGCTAAAGATCGTTGTCTCCATCAGAAGAAGACGGGACATTATAAAAAGAACTCATTCCGATTTCCTAAAGATGATAATGAAGAATAAAGGTGAGAACATTATTACGTTTGTAAATGAATCCTTGTATGTAAAGTTTTCAAAATCTACTTGGTGGATTGATTCAGGTGCAACTATTCATGTTGCTAATTCATTACAGGGATTCCGTTCGATGAGAACTTTGCAAAGAAGCGAAAGTTTCATTAAAGTCGCAAATGGAGTACAAGCAGAGGTTGAGGCCGTTGGAGATCTTCCTCTAGAGCTTCCAGATGGCTTTATACTTTTTCTTAGAGATGTTCTTTATGTACCTTCTTTGCAAAGAAACCTGATTAGTGTATCAAAGTTGGACCATGATGGTTATGATTGCCATTTTGGAAATGGCAAATGTCAGATATTGTTTAATAATAATGTGTTGGTCTTGCCTTCCGACAAGACGAGCTTTATTTGTTATCACTTCGTGAAAATGTGAATTCGTATGTGATGTGAATGAAAATGTATCCTCATCGAACAATGGAAACAGAAAACGAAAGAGAGCTCACGATGCGTTGTCGAAATTATGGCACTGTCGTTTAGGCCATATTTCGAGGGGAGAATAGAAAGACTAGTTAAGAATAATATTCTTCCTTCATTAGAGCTCTCAGAGTTAGAACAATGTAGAGATTGCATAAAAGGAAAGTATGTAAAGAAAATTAAGAAAGATGCCAAACGAAGCGCAGGAATTCTACAGATTATTCACACAGATATATGTGGTCCTTTTCCTGTGAAAAGTGTGGATGGTTATGATTCATTCATAACATTCACAGACGATTACTCTCGGTTTGGCTATATTTATCCAATTAAAGAAAGAACAGAAGCGTTGGATAAATTCAAAATATTTAAAGCAGAAGTTGAAAATCAGCATGATTTAAAGATTAAGATAGTCGAGATCGACCGTGGAGGAGAGTACTACGGTCGGCATACCCCATATGGACAAGTTCCGGACCTTTCGCAAGGTTCTTACAGGAGAATGGTATAGTCGCCAAAGATTCAACAGGCTAACCTCAGTGAGAATGGAGTAGTGAAAGGCGAACTGCATTCTCGATGGATATGGTGCGTAGTATGATAAGTTACTCCACTTTACCAATGAGTCTGTGGATGGAGGCGTTAAAACCGCCATTCATGTTCTCAATAGAGTACCAAGTAAGTCGGTGCCAAAAACACCGTATGAGTTGTGGACGGAAGAGTACCCTCACTTAACCACTTGCGTGTGTGGGGAGCCCTCTTTGAGGCTAAAGTTTTAACCCAAACATTGGGAAGCTAGATCCCAAAATGGTGAGTTGCCATTTCATTGGCTATCCGAGAAAAGTCAAAAGGTTTTCGCTTCTCTTGTCCCTAATGAGACATACAAAGTTTGTGGAAACAAGACACGCTGTTTTCCTAGAGGATGAAATGATTAGGGGGAGCATGGTAGCTCGAGAAATTGACCTTGAAGAGAAGCGGGTGTATGCACCCACTCCGATCATTCATGAGCCATTTTTCTCACTACCTGCTGTTGCTGCACCAACAGTACAAGACACTGTGGTGCCAGCACCTGTTGTTATCCCGCCTGTGACAACAATGAATGATGATGAGGAACCTGTGCCTCAGGATCCTATAGAACCTATTGCCACACATGAGGGGAAGCAACAACAACCTCAAACAGAAAATGTGCCAATTGAGGAGGCCCCTAGAATGTCTCAAAGAGTTAGAAAATCAGCTATTCCTGCTGATTATGAAGTGTACAACACTGAAGAATTTTAAATGGAGGATGATCCCACCTCATTTGAAGAAGCCATGAAAAGTGATCATTCATCAAAGTGGCTTGAGGCCATGGAAGATGAGATGAGATCAATGAATGCAAATAAAGTTTAGGATTTGGAGATAATTCCTAAAGGAGCCAAAACAGTAGGCTGTAAATGGGTCTACAAAACAAAACTTGACTCTCAAGGGAATATAGAAAGATATAAAGCCCGACTTGTGGCAAAAGGCTTTACACAAAGAGAAGGGGTTGATTACAATGAGACTTTTTCTCCAGTCTCGTGTAAGGATTTCTTCAGAATCATAATGGCATTAGTGGCACATTACGATTTGGAATTACATCAGATGGATGTAAAGACGGCATTTCTCAACGGAGACTTAGAGGAAAATGTTTACATGGCACAACCGAAAGGTTTTGTCATGGAGGGAAAAGAACGTTTGGGATGCCGCCTAAAGAAATCTATTTATGGATTAAAACAAGCTTCAAGACAGTGGTACTTGAAGTTTGATCGCATAACAAAAGAATTTTGGGTTTAAAGATAATGTTGAGGACAATTGTGTCTCACGCAAAGTTTAAGAATGGGAAATTTATCTTCCTTGTCCTGTATGTGGATGATATCTTACTTGCTAGTAGTGATGGTCTACTCACGGAAACAAAGAAGTTTTTGTCCTCAAAATTTAATAATATAAAAGATCTTGGTGAAACTTCGTTCGTTCTAGGGATCGAGATTCACCGAGATAGAAGTAAAGGGTATTAGGACTGTCACAAAAGGCATACATAGAAAAAGTCTTAAAGAAATTCAAGATGCACAAATGTAGTCCCTCACCTGCTCCTAAAGTCAAGGGCGATGATATGGGGATTTTCAATGCCCAGGAACCAATATGAGATCGATCAAATGAAAGTGGTTCCATATGCTTCAAATTGTCGGAAGCTTGCAATATGCTCAAGTGTGTACGCTATACGACTTGGCATTTGTTACCGGGGGTTACTTGGCGATTTCGAGCAATCTCGGAATAGAACACTGAAATTGGTAAAGAAAGTCTTGCGTTATTTGCAAGGAACGAAAGGCCTCATGATGACATATAGAAGATCCGATTCACTCCATATAGTGGGATATTCAGATTTCGATTATGCGGGAGATAATAGAAAATCCACGTCTGGATATATGTTCACTCTCGCAGGGGGAGCTATTTCATAGAAAAGCTCAAAGCAAACCGTCACTACATCGTCCACAATGTATGCCGAGTTTGTAGCGTGTTATGAGGCAGCGGGCGGTGAACTAGCTAAAGAAGTTCATACCCGGTTTAAAGGTGGTTGACGACATCAATAGACCATTGAAGTTATCTTTGCGATAATAATCCAAAGAAGACAAGATGCTCACAACAATAGGTCAAGTGGTGCCGCCAAACACATTGACATAAAGTATTATGTTGTGAAAGATAAAGTCCGGGATCAAATGATAAGTCTTGAGCATATAAGTACCGAAAAAGATGCTCGGATCCGCTTATAAAAGGCTTACCACCCAACGTGTTCGAGAGAACATGTAGCGGCATGGGTTTAAGGGAAAGCCTATGATTCTCGGACTATAAAGGGCCCAAAAGTTAAAGTAACTATTTCAGATCGAGGCGTGCATTGTAGTACATTAAATCTATCGGCGATTGACCGTGACGATGAGACATGCTCTATGCATCATCTGTGAAGAAATGAGTAAAGATAAAAGGATTGAAGTTTAAAGTTTAAAGATAAAAGTAATAGTGAGATCAAGGGGGAGAATGTTAGATTGATCTCCTAACCAATAAGCCCAACGGCCTATTGGGCCTTGGTCACGCTATACGATCGGGGCGCCAACCCTACATGGTTGGTGGGCCCGTCGTCGATCGCGCTTATATAAAGGGGTGGGGGCGGCGGCTCAAAGCACGAGGTTCGCCGTGAGCCGCAAACCCACCGACAAACCCTAGACCGATCTAAGAAGAGGCGCTGACCCAACGACGGAAAGCTCACTGATCCTCGTGCCGCCATCTTTGCTACGCCCGACCGCGACCGCATCGACGTCAAGCGCAACCTCTACTCCACCTGTCATTGCCCGTGTCTTGCCTCCATCACCGAACCGGCGATGGCCGGCCAAAGACAATCGCTGACTTCATCTCGAAGGCTCGGGTTCATCACCAGCCCCTCTCTACCCTATCTCCCTCTCGTTGTAGTATTCTAGGTCTAAATGTGCATGTGCTTCACTGGTCTAAGTATTCATCCGTCTAGATCTACCCTAGTCGATCCACAGTTTATAACATAAACATGCTGCTTCATCCAGTTGACAGCAGCTTGTTCAGATCTACCAGAGTTCAGAATCACAAACTAACAAAGCATTCTGTGAAATCAATCAGAAATTTTCAATGTGATTATTCATATAATTATGAATAGTAATGACCAAACAGGCCCTATAATATACTCCTGAGAATAGAGTATGAGATGAAAAAAATAACTCTCAAACTTTTATCATCCAAAGCAAACTCAAGCAAATCCCCCTTCCATTGTCTGTGACCTAGTAAAAATTCTAGACAAGGTCGCAAAGAGCAGCCGGTGGGTGCAGAGCAACACGCCCAAACCGCTCCGCGCCATACTTCTCGTAGACGGTCTTCAGGTTCGCATCAGGAGCAGTAGCATGGGACCTGAGCAACATCCTTGCGCCGTCCCTGATGATCAATGTACAAAAGAACTTTATGAGCACCACAAACAATCAAGTTTCAAAATCTTAAGGATTCATGGAGTGCAGCAGGGAGGAGGAGAGCACTTACATAAGCTGCCGCTCGTGGAGGCCAGTGTGATGCTTCAAGGTTTCTGTCCAGAGAGGACTCTTCCTCAACGTGAGGCGAGCAGCATACACAGCGCAAGCAGCAACCGTCGAAGGATATGTCGTCACCATACCGTAGTCCATCAGCGTGAGCTCTCCGAAGAAATAAATCATATGCTGAAGCTGCACCCGTACGAGCAGAAGTGTCAGCAGTCAGCAGTTCCGCACAAAACAGGAACAGAACACACATGATGTGATGCAACAGAGGGCAACCGGAGCAGCTCTTTCTTTACCTGTTCATCAGCACTACCGGCAGCCTTGGCGAATCGCAGCAGGAAGTGGTACGGAGTGGGGACAGTAAGGTTCCACTGCATGCTGTTCAGAATAGACTTCTCCGCGACAAGAATCTGGGGCCGGCTGAATGCGCAATCTGCTATTTCGATGAAGTCATTTACCTGCGACAGAAAATTTTCAGGTTTCGAGCATCCAGAATAAACGGCAAGATACGAATGGAGCTTTGGCCTTACCTCCGGTGCCCAGATCTCCTCGTATTTGCAGGCGATCAGCATCGCTGCCATGCCAACGAGCTGGAGCTCCCTCCTCGGCACGGGCTGCAGCGACAGGTACCGGTCTACAATGTATATTGTGAGGTAGAGCGTTTCTGGCATGAGGTGGAATCTTTGGTGAGACTCGATGAGCCAGTCCGTGAGGGTGGCGCGCATTTTGGAGCTGAGCTCTGGCTGATTGCCCATGTAGTCAATGGGACGGCTGTCATGCTGCAAAACACAAACATGGTGTGTATGGTGAAGACAGATTCAGAACAAGCTTGCTTGAGAACAGACTTGCTAAAGATGAACCCGCAGTTACCTGGGCGGTCTTGTAGAATGTGTAGATGTCCTCAACGTAGTCCACCAAAGCAAGCTGGTTGTCGCCATCGAACTTGTCAATATCCTCAATGAGCGGCTTTGGCTTCTCGGTAAGGCCACAGGCAGCCTGACATCGACGAGAACAAAGCAACAGGTTTATACAATGCTGAACCGATCAGCATCGATGCAAGAGCAGAATTGTTGTTGGATGCAAGAGCAGAACAAGTGCTGAACCTTAGAACGCGCAGAAAGGACGGTTGAAAGCGTGTACACGTGCTTCTTCCTCCCATCCTTCTTCACAAAGCGGCTGCTGCCGGCGGCACCCTCCGATAGCTTCCTGTTCCCCTCAGGGTCTTTGGCGCCACCCTCCGATGGCTTCCGGTTCTCCTTGGGAGCTTGCTCAGGACGAGGGATGTTCTTCGCGGGCACTTTCCTAGCTGGTTTCGTAACGGCGCGCGCCGCTACAGGCTGAGCAGGAGCTACGGCGTTCTGCAGAACCACAACCACAAATTGGAATCAGACCAAATCAGATGCTTCGGATGCAAGAATCTGCCGAATCAAATCAAATGCAGTACTAGTGGCTCATCCGCTTACCTTGTTCGCCAAAGCGGCCTTCAAGAGCTGGGCGCCGAAGCTCCTGGTGATGGGGCGATGGATCCCCTCCGGCAGCTTGATCCCCCTGTAACGGCGAGGCAAGCAAGTTTCAGAGGACAACAATATGAAAGAAAGAGAACGGATACAGAAGGCCGCGACGTTCTCTAGTGTCTTACCCGTCGAGGACATCGGGGCGACGTTGCCAATGTCACCGAGCGCTGGGCGTGTAGGGTTAGGGTCTGCCGGCGGCGGCCGCGTCTTTCTGTTTCCCCGCGATCCTCGCGGCACCTGACCATCATCGCCGAAGAGGAACGGCAATTCCATCAGCATTTGCACGGAGTGAAATTCGTGTGAAATCGAAGCAAAACTCCCCCGAAATCGTAAAGAAATAGTAACAAAGATTGGACTGTTTGAAACTGAAACTTTGCTTCACGTGAGAAATTCAGGAGCAGATCGATTGAAAAAATCGAATCAAACAAGCCGGACTACATCGCTATCAAATCTTGACGCACGAATCTAATAACGAAGCTAGAAAAGATCAAGAATCAGTATCCAAGAAGCCGGGATACATTGAAATCAAATCTTGACACGTGAATGGGAATCAGACGCCCCCTGGCAGCACATAGTATGAAAAGAAAATCCTTTCTTGGAGGAGGATCCAAACAAGCAGGCGAACAACAGATCAAGAACTGGAACTAAGTGCAGCGAAAGGCCCAATATTTCCGACCGCTCACCTCGGTTCGCAGGCTGTGGAGCGGCAGCGGCGGCAGCGCGGTGGTTCCTCGTCGCCATTGCTGAGTCGCCTCCCCAAGAACGCCGACGCCAAGAAATGGGCGACCGCTTGAAAGACGCGAGGCAAGGAGAAGCTCGAACGCCTCCTCCTCCTCCTTGTTGCTCTCGTCTACGGGTTCTGTGGATCGGAAAGGGAGGGAGGGAGGGAGGGGGGAGGCTTGTGCCTTTGGGGGTTGGCTGAGGAAGGAAGAAGACGGCGGTGGGGCTGCGGCTTTATTCGGATCAAGGGCGGCTCCAAAGGTCGGGAGTCGCGAGACGGCGAGCGGTGAGGAAGGCCGCAGCGTCTAGACGGGCGGGATCGAAGGGTCTGGAGGGTTTCTGGGGAACTAGCCGTTGAGGTTCTAAGCTTTGGGTTGGCGTTAAGAATTCGCCGATGCGGCTACCACCACCGCCGACTCGTGTTTCTGACCAGTTCAACCGTGATACGGACTTCACTCCCTTTTTAAAAAAATAAAAAAAAAAATTCACTCCTTTTTTTGAAACGAAAGGTAATTCAGTCCTGTATATCCTATAAAAAAATCACTCCCGTACCGGTAAAAATGGGAAATGACAGGATGGACAAGCCCACCACCACGGGCCTTTTTTTTTTTTAAAGTGATGGAAAACGGCCTTTTGCAGTAGGAAAATGGTGGTAACTGGTATAGCGTATCGCGGTATTGGCGTTGCTCGTCTTTTATGTCGCCATCGCCACGGAACCTGCCTTATACCAGGGTTTTTTTTTGTTCCTATTTTCATGTAGAAAGTCTTACATCAACCATTAACACATTTTATCATGCCTCCAGAGTCTACGAGCATAAATATCTAGTGATCATGATCCCTTAATTTAACGAAACATGTGTAATTCACCTATATTTACATAAAACTTTAGCTAAAAGTGATAGCCATCCATTCCAGTGTTAGCTAAAAGTGATAAGGTTGATGACCCTAGCAACATATTATGCTGGCTTCGCTCCTATTTGAACAAACAAATCTACCAAATGTTAGCAATCGATCAAGATCACTCTATGGAGTGACGAGCCTTGTGGAGTGTGTTACTGGCTATCAGTGGAGGAGCCTCGTACTGGCGAAATTGGACACTTGCCCCCTTCCTCTGAGAAAAGAACATGTATAAGCTTGTGAATCTCTAAAGTTTGGGTATAATTGAAGGGAAAGAGGAAAAGACGAGGCATAGTCTTGACACTCGGAGAGTCAAGACTCAAGAACCCACGGGAGTAGGAGTAGGGGACACGGCAATCTCTCTGATGAGACTGCCGATTTCAGGTCGCCAGAAACGGACGCGCCTCTCCCCGGAAACCGGCCACATCTCTGAGGCTACCGGGCTAGAAGCCAGCAGCGTACTACGCCACGGTACAGCGATGGTCGCGATCATGATGCTCGATCGGCCACGCTCAGCTAGTCAGCTCCGACTCCGAGCAGATGCGTCATGCGTCATGCGATGAGGCGTCTCCAACACACTCCGCAGTTCGGAAAACATACAGTACAGTTACAGTAACAGGAAGGCAACTGACAGGCACGAGTCACACGAGCAAAGACTTGTTTTTTCCGATGCCTTTGATTTGCCAGCAGCAGCGGGTGCACGGCACGGCACCCGTTCGCTAGTCCTACCCACTGGCCACTGGCCACTCGTTCAGATTCAGGTTCTGGTGTTCTGTTCAGTTTGCTTTCTCTGAACTCGTGCAATGAGGCGGCAGCTGAAACGTGAGGCCCGCCGGGCACAAAGCGAGGCTACGACGGTTCAGACGTCAAGAGCTGCGAGAGAGATCGCTCGCTGTGTCACACCAGAAAGGGAGAGGGCAAGGACGGCGACGGCTTTGTTTACAGAGGTGCAAGGAGCAGGGTCTGAGGTTAGTTGCAGATCAAGAACGAACGCTCATGAGTCATGAAAGAAGCTAGCTACTCCGTACTCCGGTTGGTGGCGCTGGTGTCTCGTCTGACGATGATCGTCTCTCAGCTTCAGCCTTCAGCTGCAGGCCTTGGCCGTCCGGCGGCCGCGTCCCCACAGCGCCGGCCAGCAACCGATGCCCAGCGCCGTCTGTGTCCTGAAAGATTGGATGTCGGTTTTGTTAGCTCCGTACAGATATCACAAAGGAATCTGAGCGCGTGTTTAGTTCTCACCCTAAATTTCCAAACAGTACTACAGTAGTTATTACATCGAATCTTGCGATATGTACATGGAGCATTAAATATAGACGAAAAAAAAACTAATTGCACAGTTTGGTTGGAAATTGCGAGACGAACGTTTTTTGCCTAATTAGTCTATGATGGAACACTAATTGCCAAATAAAAACGAAAGTGCTACAGTAGCCAAATTCCAACTTTCCCCAACTAAACACGCGTTGAAGACTGAAACAGTAGAGCAGGAGCAGTAATCTGAAAGTCCGAAAAACTGTTTTTAGCAAACTGTTTCTGAAAAGGTGTACTCTGTCAAGGAAGAAGCTTCTGAAGGGTAAAGGCAGACTGATCCTGTGTACTTCGGTCAGATTATATGATCCTTGTTTTGTTTTTCTGCTTTCATGGTCATAAGTTGTTCCATTGTTGACTCCACAAAGCTTAAGACAGGTCAAAAGGATGGAAGAGCCGTTTGGTCCAAAAGATACCGGTCCCAGGAAGAAAAAAAAAATTCATCCATCGATTATAACTTTCAGCGGCGTGTGGTTGAAAAAAAAGAGTGTTTCGGATACAGACCAAGCACTCATGATGACCAAACGAAAAGCGTCGCAAAGGGGTGCAGTGACTAACGAGGACATCTAATGATATCATGCAGTTGCAGTAGTACCGCTGGATTAGGGCCTGATTCCTATAACGTAATAATTGTACTGTCCTGTGTGGAAAAATTTCAAAATAGCTATCGGATCCATGCGTTTCAAACAATCCATATCAGTACCAGCAATTTTTTTTTCATCATAGCATATCAGTAACCCTTTGTCATCTAAGTCTGCAACTAGTCAACTTCCAGTGTCAGTTGCAGTCACAAACAGCCTTCTTATGCAGATGTTCAGCCAGCTTATTTGCTGGTTTATAAGCTACGGTACAGTATTTTTCTCTCTAAAAAAATCAGCCATACAAATCAGCACCAGCGTAGCTTATTTGCTGGTTTATAAGCTACGGTACAGTATTTTTCTCTCTAAAAAAAAAAATCAGCCAGTGTGCTGATTTGTATGTCTGAATTTTTAAATGAATTCACATGTATGCATGATTAGCTGTGCTAATACAGAGAAGCACGAAATGCAACAGTGAATAATTAACCATGGAAATTTAAGGCTTTCATGGCAACAAAAACAACTGTAACCGCGCGTGATCGTCGATTCGGCACTGACCTGCTGGCTTTTCCGGCGGCGGTGGTGGTACGAACAGGCTTCGCCGGCGCGCCCTGAACGGTCCCGGGCGACGGCGGCCCGCGGCTGGGCCTTGGCGTGGTCATGCTCCTGGTGAGAAGCCCCGGCACGTAGAAGTTGAGCAGCACGCCGTCGCCGCCTCCGCCGCAGCTCCCCCGACTGCCGCCGCTCCGCCGCGCCCTCAGCCGCGCCGCCTGCTGCCGCTGCTGCTTCGACGCCGCAGCTGCCGCCGCGGCCGCGGTCGGGCGATCGTCCCGCGGCGCCGACGGAGCGCCGAGGTCTGCGTCCGCGCTCGGCGGCCTGGCGCCGGCCTCCACGAGGTCGGAGAAGGAGAGCTCGCGGTCGGAGCCGCTGCCGCCTCCGTCGGGGAAGCCCGCGAGGAGGGCCAGCATCTCCTCCTCCCGCGCGGACAGCCGCCTTCCGCCGCCCGCGAGCGCGAGTGCCTCCTTCATGGATCGCTTCTCTGTCTCCCTCTTTCTCCACCTCGATTGCGCGGCGACGGCAGGGAGCGAGCAGCGCGTATGGTATTCGACTATTCGTGGCCGCGCGCGCTTGCTCGTGAGGTTTTGGGATAGGTCCCGTCCTCGACTGGAGGCTTGATGGTGTGCCGCCGTCGCTTTTGTAGATAGAGGAAGAAGACGTGTGGGCGGGCGGGTTCGCCTCCTTTGATGCGCCGGGTTAAGCAAAGAAAAGACACGGACGTCGGAGTGGCAACTGGGCTGTGATGATACGCAGCCGCAGCCCTTGCCCGGTCTCCCTTTTCAGTTTCAGAAGCTTCTTTTTGCTTTTGGGAAGGTTTGCTGTGTGCTGATAATCTGATCGATGCGCTGTACCATCACTTTGTGCTTACGGTTACTGATGCACCTTTTGTAGTACAGTATTTGTCATTCTGTGGCTTAGGCCACCCAACGCTACACGTGGCTGTTAGCCTCGGCTTCCACGTTCGCAGCAAGCAGCTGATTCAGCTCAAACAGTGGCTCCGCAGGGTGTCAGGGGATCCTGCAGGAGCGGCGTATGCTTGATCCCACGTAAAGCTCAAGCCATCTCTGAGACACGCCTTGGAGGCAGAAAATGAAAGCCCCATCACACGTTTTGTTGGACCATAGGACAAACAAGAACGTGGTGTTCTGGGAATTATGGACCAGAATAAAATTGAAGTTTTGGCTTGATTTTTTACTGAGGCCAACGCTGCTAGCCCCCCGC